CAGGTATCCATCGCAAGGTACGGTCCTGTCACTTGAGAGACGTTATGTAGAGCTGGCGTGCACGACGCCGCCTGACGTGAGACATGGGCGCAGTCCTCTGGACCGGCAGGTGCTGCGCCGCTGGACAAGAGACGTGGGAGTAGTTTGACAAGCACGGTCTTGTCGAATAAGAAGCTTCCCAAAGACTACAGGTTACTCAATAGCGAGCTCCTTTGTAGCGAGCTCCCTTGTAGCGAACTCCTTCGTAGCGAGCTCCAATAGCGAGCTGCCTTGCAGCAAGCCGTTCTGTAGCGGGCTGTAGCGAGCTATCTTGTGGTGAGCTGTTCTGTTGGGGTTTCAGCGAGCTCATTACGCCGAGTTGTGGCCAAGCTGTCATGCTGAGTTGTCACTTACGTCGAGTCATATCCACGTGTCCCTTAGTTAGGAGGTCGGGTCAAATCACCCTCCATCAGTTGTTATAGCAGCTTGGAAAAAGGGGTGCCTAACACCTTCCCTTTCCCAATCTTCTAAACCTAAAGGCTCTTGGTTATGTGCCTCTCAAGGTAAAGAATGGAGTCACTATCGAGGATGTAAAATCAAATTTTCAGAATATGAAAATGAGAGCCCATTTCCTCTGAAAAATGGGTGGCAACTCCATTTATTTGAGCCGGCCATGAGCTTTCCAAAGCTCAGAATGTATGAATTGATTGTTGATTTGAACTGATTTTATTAATTTTGTTTTAGTTTTGATCATTGGTAAGATAACCAAGTGGATTAGAGGAGAGTCATTGATTTTAGTTTTGATATGAACTAACTAGAGTTTTCATGTGGCAAAACTTATAGAACATATAGAATATGCCATGTCATCTGGTGGAAAGTCAATACTATAGATTGGACAATGATAGTATATCAAATTATCAAAATGGAACCAAGTTATGTATCTCGTTCAGTTTTCTCACTAATCAAAAACTAGAAAATGAATTTTCTTAGTAACCAAAAACTTGAAAAAATAAATTTTCTTTTCTCATCCATCCTTTCTCAGCAACCAAACAGACCCTCAAGCAAGAAAAAACAAGGTTGAGAGAAAGTTCTCAAGGAATTACACAAGTTTCTTGACATAAGTTGGAAACAACACATGTTTAGAGAAGCTTCAAATAAAAAAAAAAAAGATTTAAGCCGAAAATAAGAAGAATATTCAACAATCTAACTTACTACTCATTATTAAAAACCAACTAAATCTCTTCTAAAAAGAAAGTCCTAATTGAAAACAAATTCAAAAATCATGCTATGATACTAATTTGATAAATGCAAACTAAAATGAACAAATTTGAAAAGTCTACTATGATGCCAACTTGGTAAATATTGACCAAGATAGATTGTCGGAGCCAACTTGGGTAAATATGTACTCATATGGATTCATGGCACCATCCCAACTTCTTATGTGTCTTAGAGTAGTCACATCTTTTACAAAACTTAATAGTTTCTTCCTCATCATTCTCCTTGGGTTGGAGAATCTGATTTCAGATTCATATTTGTGTGGTCATCAACATTGGTAGGCATTTTCATTGTGATGACTTTACCATTAAGTTTAAGGTATTGATTTAATTTAGTTTTGGGTGATTTGCATTGGTTTAAGTCTCATGTTAGATCCCTAAATAAGAAAATTGTTTCTCCTAGTGAAAAAGCTTTTAGCATTGAGCAATTTTGTTATATCAAGTTCTTGCACTTGAACCATGCTTGGTGGTGCAAGTTTTTGCCTTTCAACTACTTTACCTTGGATACGAGAAAGTTTGTTTAATTATTTAACAAACTAGTTAGCAATTAATAAAATGAATATAAAATAATTTATAAATAATGGAATTGATAAAAAATATAAATAATTAAATACTTTAAAGAATTGAGAATTTATTAATTAATTTTAATTAATTAAAATAAGAAATTATTAAATAACTTAATGAATAATAAAATAAGTATTACTAGATAATAAAATAATTAAATATGTGATTAAATAATACATAAATAATTAATAAAATAATAGTAATTTCTAAATATTACTTTATTATTATTATTATTATTATTATTATTGTTGTTGTTGTTGTTATGTAGGGTTTTCAAATTGCATCATATGTAAAAGGAAGAAGCTTTTGGGGGTAATTTTTGGAAAACTAAAAGGGAAGTAATTGAAAAACAAAGGAAGATGAGACATTTAAGGCTAAAGGGAAAAATAAAACCGAACACTCCAATTGCGCATGAAAGCTTTTCAGCATCTATATCTATATATTAAATGGAATGTGCCAAGTTGGCAATTTCCTGATTTCTGGCTATTTTTGACAAGTATTTATTTATTTATTTATTTTTGGTTGTTTTTAGAAGCATTTATCTTTTTCTGTTTTTTTTGAATTTTTCTCATTTTGAAATTGAATAAAGTAACTCAAGTGGCCAATAAGCTTTTAAGACTTTTATCTATGACCATTAACTCCATCTCCTCTGTCTCATTAACTCCTTTAATTATCTTTTCTCATTAATTATGCCATTAACTCTCTTTCAATAACTCATGCCATTATTTCTCTTTCCTATTCATTACTCCATTAAATTGCCTAAAATTCATTACCTTTATCTATATCTATATCCATTTCAATTTAATTATAATTTTGTAGACATTAGATATATTTATATTAAATTATAATTATCAATAAAAAATAATTATATTGAAATGGAGATATTTAATAGTATATTATTAGGCTAAATAATCTATTTCAATTTAAAAGATAATTAATATTTTAGTAATTAATTAAGTAATTTATATTTCAGAATAAATATTATTTAATTCACCTCAACAAATAAACCAGTGTTTTAAAATTTGACTTTGAGGTTGAATAGTTTTCTCGCCTCTAGGCCACGGGTCAACGATTCATTTGTCTGGATTGGACAAATCAAACATGACACATCATTAATCTATATATGTATAATATGATATAATATATTTACATTTTGTGTGTGTGGTGTATTATTTTAGGTTCAATTTGTACTTTTCATTTTAGTTTTTATTTTTTATATATGAAAGAGCCGAAAATTAAAATATTAAAATTTGAGGCTATAAAATGAGTTTTTTTTTTTTGTATAGTGGGGTTGTAAAGATTTTGAAAAGTTACCCAAATAAGAAGATCAACTTAATAAGACAACTAAGCACAAAGTTAAGTCCTCTAGAAGTTTTCAATACATTGAATATTGTAACCCATGACCCAATGACTATGTTGAACGGATTTTGATCTAATCAATGTTTTTTGACAAAATAATAGGTTTTAGGAAACCCAAAACTAGAAATAGGGCTAGGTAATGGTTCAAATGGTTAACTGTTTGAATCAACGATGAGTTGAAAAAATTGCATAAAGCATCATAAAAAGTATAATCCATTTATATTCCATTTGAAATAACAGAAATTAATTAACCATAGTAGAAAATAAGGTAAAATAATTATTAATTATTATTATTATAATAACAACAAATAAATTAATAAAAACTAATAAGATAAATTAGAAACCAATATATATTTAAAATTAATATAAAAAACTATACAAACTTATCTAACAATTATTACTTTTATAATTAATTTTTAATAACAAGCTTAAATTCCATTTAAAAATAAAAATTTAATATAATTAATTAAATTTAATAAGGATTAATAAAAATAAAAGTCAATAAAAATTATTAATCTTAAATATAGTTTAATTAATTTAAAATCAACTTAAATTCTATTTAAAAATGGGGAAAATTATAAAAACCTCATTGGGTTTTCTAACAATCCTATGAACCTCCCCCTATATATGTTTTGACCTTAACAAAAACTTCCCATATTGTTTTGAAAAAAGGTGCAAATACTTTCCTTCTGTTAACACTCGAAATAGAAAATGTTGATGTAATACATTAATTTTCTTTAAATACAAAATTTACCCTTAACCAACTTTATTTAGAAATAATTATAAATAAAAAATTACCTAAAAATAATACAAAAATAACTACAAACCATAAAATTTAAAAAATTAATAAAAAAATAGCATAAAAATAAAAAAATAATATAGATTTATCTAGAACATAGGAAATTAGCCACTCTCACTAAAGTGCAACTTGAATTGTGATCATGAATAAACTAGACATGACCCAGAAAAAAAATGCTTGAATTAGACTTAGATGAGCACCAATTAATTGGAAATGCCATAAATCTCTTTTCTCAATTCTTTTTAATAAATCCATTAACAGTAATCGAATAGTTTTTAAGCCTTTTGTGAATGTACATGAAGCTTCAAAGGATGCAATTGCTTTCTTTGAAGCTAAGTGTTTTTTAACTTTTTGAAAAAGCTAAATAAAACCACAAGAAAATCCAACCAAAGCGTGAAGATAATTTTTCATATTTTGTAATTTTGGGCCCCTAAATGCTTTATAATTTATACTTTTTAAATGTGTGCATCAATTGCATGAACTATTTGCTCATAAAATAAAATAGATGCTTTTCTAATAGTCGTTGTGATGAATTTAAAAATAATCAGATCATAGATTTACAAGCTGTGTCATCAACCATTATGATCCCCATCTCTGTTTTGTTCCTTTCTTCTCTTACACTGCATTTGGAGGTGCGAAGTACACTAGCACAGCCTAGCTGTATTTCCAAAACGGCACACTAGCACAGTTTCTCCCACAGTCCATTTAGGGGAAGAAACTGACTGTCCACGTTAGGGCTCTCTTTGCGTGACACGTTAGTTCACTTTGTTGCAAATGACTGAACTACCATGTCGTTAACTGCTTACTCGTTTTAACTGCTTACATGGTGATGGGTTTTCTGGTTCATCTATTTTAATTACTAATAAACCCTCATATCAAGGAGGGCCTTTCTGGGTATTTCTTTTGTCGATTATCTTCATGTCTGGTGAAGGGAAATCCGAGGATGGTGATGGCGATGACGAAGAACCAGTTCGCAGAGGGGACGCGAAGAAGAAGCATAGAGGGTCTGGAACTGGAAGGAATATCAGAGATGCTAAGCAGTTGGTTACGCTTCCATTCAGAAAGGCCAAGAAGCTTTGCAGAAAAAAGAATTATTCTTCCGCAAGGAATCCAGGTAAGGGCGGATGCTACCTATGTTTTTTGCAACCTCCTCTTACATCGGATTCAACGGTTAGCTCTGAGACAAGCGATCCAAACAACCCAGCTTTCTCTTATGGGTCATTGAAATCTCTAATAGAAAAGAACGACTTTTACTCAAGGGAATGCAATATCCACTTAGGTAGCTAATATGGAGGGTAAGACACTTATTCCTTTTCTTGTTTTTTGTGATGGTTGAAGATTTAAGGTTCAGAAAGGTTGGAAGTTAGGAATTAATCAAATTGGTGAAATGGGTTATCGGATTTCGTGATCGTTAAGCTTCAGTTGGTCTTCTTCCTTTTTTTTTTTTTTTCTGAATTTGGTTAGATGGGCCTGATAAATTGCAGGACGAAACTATCGATTAGTTAAAAACTCATATCCTTGGGAATGCTCATAGCTCACTGAGATTCGTTAGTCGGAGAGGTTGAAGTTGATATTATCCTCATCCCATGAGTTTGAATCAAGACAACCTTTTGCTGGGCTTACAGAAGAAGGAAAGAGGACAAACAAAAGATTTAAGTGTTTCTGTTTTTGAAGGTTTTAAGCAGAAATCCATGAAGAGGAAGTGCATGTGAAGATTTCGAGGAAAACACATTGATTCTCTAATGCGTGGGCGGAGTTGTTCATTCTTTTTTCTTGTAGAATTTTGTAAATTTTCTTTCATTTTCATGGTATTGTCTTTACCAAATGCACATAAGATTTCAGTTTACAAGAATAAAAAATGCCATTCGTTTGTTCTGTTTTGATTCAATTAGCAGGACAGTCTTTCAGAAACCCTCAACTGTTGCCTGTTGGACAATGAGGAGAATTCTCTCCATTCATCTTGGAAGTAGTTAACCACAGTAACAGCCATGCGACTTTTAAGACCTAGTACTAAGTCTTGCATTCAGAAAATTGCTTAGAATTGCAGATAATGAGTATTGATATACCTGAAATTTTAAGCGTGATGAATCTTAGTCTAAAGAGGCTTGGACCTGATCTTGATGATTCGGTAAGTGGTAGAACTTATAGGTAGGGGGACCAAATATTCGGGAATAAAAGTCATGCCATCAATCTCATAGAGAGGATGTGATTACTAATATACTTCAAGTTTGAAGTTCCACTTGTTCTATTGAGGACCAAAAACCGGACCAGGTATGTATTAATTTCTCCAATTGGGGAAAGAGTTGGAAATTGCATTTGGTGTGGGTAGATACACAAATAATGAAAGTACCATCTGGTTGCATTTGGATTTTTAGTTTAGCTGATAGTACTTGGAGGCTTGGAGCAACAAGAAACAGAAAGCTACTTCAGGAGTTGTAGCTTCATTGAACTACATATCTTGGTGCCTTTGATTGAATGTTGGTTTCCTGGAATATTAGCTGTACCTTAACCTGCAATATTTGTTAATCTTTATAGAGAGAATTTGATATTTAGCAAAGTTTATACAAGGGGAGATCAGATACTTTTCATTTATTAAATGGTTTTACATTCAAATGGCCTTTATATCAATCCTAGGCAATCAATTTAATGTCTCTGGCTGTAGATTCTGTGGGTAAACTACTTTATCTTGCCTGGTTCAGTGCAATAGTTCTTGATTGTTATTTTTAGAAGTCATTTGTGTTTGAGACTGGAATCTATCAAATAAAGCATCTGAGCTATGCATTTTCTTTTAATCCAAATTAATCTGGTATTTCTTAACTCCTTACATCCACCACTTCATACTTCTTTGTTTCTTGCATAAGATACAATGTATCTTTTATTATTTTCCCTAGGTAGTTCACTATAGATTTACTATGCTCTAGTAATTTCTCTAAGTTCCAAGCAAACATGAAATCTTTACACAAGTGAGCACTGAGCACTCTAGCTACTTTTTTGTTCTACTGATCAACCCTTGAATAAAGGCCATTACCCAATGTTGGTCCCAGCTTTCTTGGTCCAGGGATGGGCAGACTGGTGGATACGGACCTAACCTTTGTCATTTTGTTGCACAAAATGGCCACCTTCAGACTTGAACCTGCATTCTCATGTTTGTCAGTTTGACTTTGACATTTTACTATTACACCAAGTAATGGCCCCTGGTCTTCTGATCTACCTTTGAATGTATATATGGAAAAGGTTTGGCTAATCAGGTCAGGTAGGGCTTTTCCCTACATGGCCTACCCTAGCTGGGTCTTCTATGTTCTAGTCACCTCTCAACAGTTTTCTATTGTAACCTGAGGATCAATCAAATACCTGAATGACTCGATTATTATATGTGAATCTGAAAGAGCATCAATTTGTTTTGTCTGCAGTGGGAAATGTTGAGGTTGGAGCATTGCAGGTGACTAGGACAATCCGTGGCTGTCATTCTTTCAGATACCTCAATTGAATACTGAATCATGAGAGTGATTGATTCTCTTTGCCAAGCATTGGTGCCAATGACTGAGAAAATAAAGGCTTGATGCTATCTTCTCATTGCCTATAAATAATGGTAATAGATCACCAATTATTGAAATTGAAGTAATCCATTGACTGAGAAAATAACTGAAGTATCATGTTCCTATTTTCACAGGTGGATTAACCTTCCCCCTCCCCCTCCAGGATCATTCATCTTTTCATAGCATTCAATAGGTTCCCTTCAAAACCCTGTGACAGTTTGATGCAGACAAAGAGGGAATTCCAAATGAACTATGGTTTTGTTGGGGAAAAATGAACACAAGCTTAATATAGTTGGGGGCATCTTCTTTATTAAAAAAAAAAAAAACACTTGAATTATTAAATTGTCAGAGCACAAATATTGAGTCGTTTGCTCATTACCTAATATTTTTTTTAAGAAAAAGAAAAGATTTATTAAGGATTAAAAAGAATGGAGCTTTAGACATTACCCTCAAAACAAAACTAGGAGCAAAAGCTTGATACAAAAATCAAAAACAGACAAAAAAACTAAGAAGAATATCAGGGTGATAACCTTTGTTTATTCTAAATGATCTTCATGCAGTTTCTGGTTGAATCGTCTCTTGGGCCTTCTTAAACTTAGAATTCTTTTTCTTCCTCTTGTTTTCCACTGTCAATCTTGATTTGAATCATTCTTCTCCTTGGAAATAGTAGGTTTAATTAGATTTTCACCAACTTGATCACCTTTCTTCGCAGGAGTAGCTAATTGATCAAAGTTCACTTTGTGCCTTGCTTCAGAAACACCTTGAGCTCTATATCAATGAGATAAACCGTAAAGGTATTGCATGTTTTCATTGATTTCAATCTCTATATCATCCCAACACCATTAGTTCACAATAGGCCAAGGAAATTTCAGCCATTTACCACTGCACTTCTCTTATGCCTCTTGCAACAATGTTTTTTTCCACTGGAGCCTTCTTAGGCTTTGGAGAAAATTTTGGTTGGGTACTATTACCTTCACGTGCTTATTCCATCACCTCTTGCATTTCTATGTCGTAGTGCTTCTGATTATTTCTATCTTCCTGCTCTTTCTATATATCCATACTAGCATTGTGTTGAACACTATTTGTGCCATCCTCTTGTTCAGTCACATGTGGTTCGAGGGTTTGTGCAAGTGTGACCTAGTCTGCACCGTTATCGTTCTTTGATTCCTTGAGACACTCCAACCTATTATCTCCTCTTGTCCAACCACCATCTCTGGCTCTCTGTCTAGGATAATGGAAGCCTAAGGTCTGCTTTGTTTGGTCACACCAGTCGGCTAGAAGATTTGCTTCTCCTTCTGTTAGAGGATGGTGACTACTTTTTAATTCTTCTTCTCATCATGCTTCTTGTTCAAGCGACAGACACCCTCGCCATGCCCTATCTTGTTGCAATAGATACAGTGCTTTGAGAGATTGTCATATACAATCTGCTACCAAAATCCATCTTGGCCTGTGCCTATCCACAATCGTTGGGGGTTATCTTTCAACAAATCCACTTCTACATAGAGACATGGGCTTCAGTAGTACGAGTTAGGTTCAGAGTAGCGGTATCCACTTTTGGATTTTCCTTGCAACTTGGGCAATCAACCTGATATGAGAGTGGTTATATAGATTAACAGGAAGATTAGAGAAAGAAATCCAGACCGAAGCAATGGAGGGTTCAATCCCTAGGTCAAATGAAAGGATCCATTTGAGTAGACAAAACTGGAAATCCTTTATACAGACTTGTTCCCACAATCAAACTCTCAAATACTTTTCTTCATGAGCAAAAAGAATGATAACATTATAAGAATCCAAAGCAGTAATGATTAGGCTCTTCTTTAGGTGAAACATTCTAATAAAAATTTCTTTTATTTCTTGCAAAGGAGGACGACCATGGACACATTTTCCAATCAAAGCATACTTCAGCGGTGAGAGGGATCTCTGTATCTCTTCAGGAAATAGCACGGCTGGCTCATCCCAATGGAGAGTAGGGCTTCTCTCTTCAATAATGATATTCTCAGGGACTACAGGCGTTAAGACAGTATCCAACCGAAGTAATTAAGCAAAAGACGGCAGCTGGGTATGGGGAATACCTGGTGGATCTGATGGCTTCTCTAGGGTTCCCATCCTAACGAATCGATGCTTGCAAACTTCAACAACCTGATCTCCAACCCCCCAAAAAAGTGGAGAGGAGGAACTCAAATCATCACACTTGCACTGGAAGTAAAGAAAGTGGAACTAACCTACCATTTGCTGTGTATTTACCAACAGAAAAAAAAAGAAGGGTATCTATTTACTAACAGAAGAAAAATTAGGAAGCCCCTAGCCCTGAACTAACCTACCATTATCTTTGTTGCTACCTTCCTTTCAAATTTCAATCAATTATTCGTCAATAAGCTTTAATGTCTTCTCTTCCAATACCAATCATTGTTCATCACAATCAATAGAAGTACTTGTCTTTGTGCTTATTTAAACTTTAACAAAGTGATTGCAAGTATGAGAGATGGGAGTCTAGCATCGATCACGTTGGAACTTAAGCTTTGATATTTGGATAATCGGATTTTAACATTTAACATATAATATTAGCAGTTAGGTTTTCGGTGTGTTGGACATTCTCACTTGATGGTTTCAGTCACAACTGTAGGCTGTAATTTATTAAATCCTAAGTGTTAAGTGCCGTCATCTCCTTTACCTTGTGCTCTCGAACAGAAGTAAACAAAGAGTGCTCATGACCCTGTATTTCAAACTGCAAAAAAAAAAAAAGGTATTTCAAACTCTTATGGAACCACCCAACAGAACCATCAAAAGAATATGTTTATCAAATGCAACAATTAATAAAGAAATTAAAAAAGTTAAAACAAAAGGAAATCGAACTCACCATCTTTCGTGAAATGTAACAGAATAAAGATGCCTAGGTACGTCAAGAGTCTTCTACTATGCTCCTGGTGAAGGAACTTGGATTAACTTGTTGCTCTTTACCATGAACATGCTACTTCAATTGGGCAACGACGTATGGATGAAGAGTTTATCAATTTCAATCGCAACTAATATCAATTAGCAACAAAGGACTACCTTTGAGCTTCCACAGCATTTATACTTTCAGAAAGCCTTAGGTTGTGTTTGGTTGCAATGCAAATTTATTTGTACTGATGCAAAACCAAGGAAGTACAAATGATTTCAATGTAAATTGTGAATTATTTTTTATGGTGCGCGATCTGGTCACTCCTAGCTGGACGTGGCTACGCTCCTAGCTGGTGACGGACGAGAGATACGTGAGGAAGAAGATGAAGGAACTTGGGGGGCTCATCCGGTGGGAACACACTGATGGTTAAGTTAGTAACCGGACTGAAAGCGGGGAGAGAGAGAGAGAGCTGCAGAGAAATCAAAGAGATAGAGTGATGATCACGATACCTTCGCCCCTAGGGGTCAGGGTCCTTATATACTAGTATCCTGACATGTTTGGTGCAACCACCTCCGAATCTCTACTGCGGCGATTTGCTATCAAATAACGGCTTGGAGTGGTTGGCCGTTATTTGTCAGAGTTGAGCTGTCGGGAAAGGTGATCGCTACAGAGTACGGTCCTACTAAACAAGAAACAACCTCCAGGGTTGGCAGGCACGACGCCGCCAGGCGAGAGACATGGGTGCAGTCTCCAGGTTTGGTAGGTACGGTTGTCAGGCAGAAAATCCCCTGCGATACGCCGAACTTCTCTACAGCGAGCTACCTTACACCGAGCTATTGGTGAGGCATCGAGGTGCTTTTCTACCTGAGGCATGTCTCCGAGGTAGCCTACTTAGGTTTGGACAGGAGCGAACTTATTCTAGTTAGGGAGCTGACGAGCTTAACCCGAAGTGTCTTCAGTTCGGGGTGCTCCCTACTTGGGAGAGTCTTAGCTCGGGGTGACGGAGTATTATCTTGTAGCAAGCTGCCATTCATGGCGAGCTGTCAGGCTGGGTTATAGCGAGCTCGTTACGCTGAGTTGGAGCGAGCTCGTTATGCTGAGTTGTCACTCACGTTGAGTCACGTCCACGTGTCCCCTCGTTATGAGATCTAGCCAAATCACTCTCCATCAATTGCCCCCTACTCCCCAGGCCAGGGGTCCTTACCTGGTGCGGGGAGTTCACGGCGTGATGGGTGGATTTGGCTCGAGGTTCAGGCCGTCCAGTTAGACAGTTCGTCGGTCAGACCAGTTCGACTGCTCGGCTCAACCATGTATAACCCAGGTCGCATGCGGTTTACGCGCGGATGTCACACGATCTATAGACTCCGCGGATGCCAAAAAATGCGCTAAACTGATTTCGACCTTGAGGGTCATGCAACCGGTTTTCTTAGGAACCGTCAGATCTTCTTGATTTCGACCGTTGATCCCCTGACCTTGTGGCCATAAATATGGGGGGACCCGAGTCATTTTCTCCGCCATAAGTTCACTAGCATTCGCCTTGAGGTCGCGGTTAAAGTCCTCAGCTCGGGTTTTCTAGTTCGTCAGTTTTTCAGTTCGGTCTCTCTTCTTGGTGAGTCTCCCCTAGCTTTTCTTTTTCAGTTTGGTTCAATTCGTAGTTATCTCGCAACTTAGTTTTGATAGTCTCTTGGATGAGCCCGAGGAAGGTACCTCGGCTCAGGTTGGTCCTCCCGAAGTGGAGTCATCCTGGGAGGCACGAGAGGCCACGGATAACCCGACGTCCACTTTGTTAGACAGTTTGTATGCCCTTAGCTCCAATCAGTTTTGATGTACTTTAGACATTTAGTGTAAATGAATAAAGTGCATGTTTGATTCATGTTGTGTGGTATGTTTTTGTGTAAGACCCTTAAACTGGACACTTAATGAGAATCATGTTAGTTTAAAATGTTCATAGTTAGTGGATCGGTCTGGGGAGACCTATCCTGATAAGGATGACACTGATGTGCCGCCAAGTTGGTTGGGGAGGCTTGTCTTAGCCACCAGGGTGAGACCCGAGGTACGTGTAGTGAGGATTCAACTTGAAACCTTGAATTGGACCAGATTTCCAATATTGTCTTGGACCTTAGTGATGAGTGGGCAAAACTGGAAAGTTACACCTGACCCCTAGACTCGATTTGATACTACATTAGGTGGCGGATTTGGGTTGTCTTTGATATGCCAATCAGTGAGATCCTTAGAGGGGGTCAAAACCTAGGTATGTTGGGATGGTTCATGAACCCATCTGAGTGGGTGATCATAGTGATAGGATAAGCCCCTTTGTTAGACAAAGGTAATGATCGGGGATGCACTCTCTTTGATGGAAACCAAAAACTGCTGGCAGTCGATTTCAACCGTTGGAATTTTGTTTTGCAAAATATATTTATGATATAACATATGTGTACGGTTTCAACTCGTTTGCAAAAAGGTTTTAATCCCCGGGGTCCATCTTAGAGGAGAGTGCAACACTGTGCCTTGTAGTCGAGGGAGAGGTCCTCTCTTGTCGGGCAGTGTTTTGGATCATTATGGGATGAGAGGTTAAGTGTAAGGCCATTTAGGGTTGTACCTGATGGGCTAATCTTGCATCTGCCCACAGTCCCTAGGTTTTTATAAGATGGCTTGGCCCAGGGACCACTTAGTGTAAGTGTTGGGCCCATAGAATCCAGGTGATGGGCTCAAGGGGTTCACTTTCTAGTGAATTCGGCTAGGCCTTGGCCGAACCCATGTGGCTGATGTGTAGATCAATGCTTGGGTCCCACGCCATACAAAGAAGCCAAACTGGGTAGCAGTTTGGAAGCCTATTGAGCACTTGATGCATATTGGGCCTAAAGCCCATTTCGAACTAGGCTGATTTTATCAGTCACTTAAAGGGGCAAATCTGAGGTTAGGTCAAGCCAAAAAAGGATTGGGTCTTAACCGTATCCACTCATGGAAACCAAATTCAAATTAGGATTTGAATTTGGTAACCTCCTAATAAGATCAGGAGTGGGCTGATCTAATCTGCATATAGGATTAAGAAGACTCCTTATCCAAATACAGATTTGGATTAGGATAACTCCTAATGAGATTAGGAAGTTTCTTAATCATTAAGAAAAGAGGAGAAACCCTAATTTCGAATTACAAGAATTCAAACCTTAAGGGTATTCGCAGAACACACTGCATCTTGAGATAAGATCTCAGAGAAAACCCTAGAGAGAAGAAAGCTATTCACCACCTTCTGCTCTAGCTCTCTCCTCCAGTAGCCGCCGCCATCTACTGCTAGTTCATTTTCTCTGTGAGGGAAAGATCAAGAAAGGTTCTTGACATCAATCTTTACTGAAAGGTTGACCGTGTGTGGTGCTCATTGCTTCCATCGAGTTCTTCAGAAGGACTTGGTTCGTGGGACGAACACTGCTGGTTCTGCTTCATTATCACTGTGTCATCTTCAGTGGGAGCRRTTCTTRKGAGTTTCTTTRGGYGTGAACACCGACATTGGGAGATACTGTTTCTCCGGATCAGGTATATCCCTTCCCTTCTCTTTTGGTTCAGATCTGGTTCGGTTTTGGTTCAAGTCAGATCCTTGAATACTGTATTCTAAATTTAGGGAATATGATTCCCAATTGGAAGAAAGGTAAGAAATTTTTGAAATTCGCCCACCCATTCTGCACCATTTTGGCATCCATATGATGGATCTTACCATTCTTTCAGTGGTATCAGAGCCACAGGTTCAAATCTTGAATCAAATAAAATCAGATCTGAACCTGCGCAAATGGGTAGAAGGTGTTCTACCCGAATTTGCGCAGATAGAATTTTATTTCTAGAAAATTGTTTCTAGATGTGGGGTGATTGATCTGAAATTAATTTTATAAATCTGAAATTGATTTAGAACTATTCTTTATTTATTTCTTGATTTATTGGGATGTTCGTATATGGAGATCGAAGTGCAGTTTCAGCGCAGAATGTCTGCGCATTCTATTAGCAATATTCTATTCATTCGGTTTGTAATATTTTTTTTCCTAGACTGAATGTATAGGATTCAATAAAGTTGTAATTAATTAATAGAAATTAGGATTTTTGTTTTTTTTTTATTTCTTGATTGAAGTTGGCGGCGGTGCTGGAGATTCGTAGATATCACTATCACAATCTGCGTTTTTGTAGTTTATGAAACTGCAACCTTGTGTTCTAATCTCTGTTTTGCAGGTGGATTTTGTACGAACAACCCCATATCTGATTTATGATTGTCTGTAATCAGATTTGTTAATTTCAGATCTTTCTTGAACTTGATTCTTGAATTGAAAATTAGCTTCAGACCATTTTCTGGGGCTTCCTCTTTGCCCTCCTCTTCTTAACAGATTTGCCAGTTTCAACAAGCATGGCTATCGGCTCATCCTTTCTAATCAGTTCCTCGGCTCGTTGCAACATCTTGCTGAGCTCTTGAACGCTGACATTCAGCTTGTTCATATTATAGTTCACAATGAACGGATTGAAGGACGAAGGCAAGGAGTTAAGAATGACGTTTATCTGTGTGACCAGATATAGCCCGGACCCAAGGGCCTCTAGCTCGTTTATGTAAACCATCATCCGGAGACAATGGTCATGAACTTGCTGCCCCTTG